TCTTTGTAAAAACTTCAATTGAATTTCAATAAAGTTAAAGGCATGGCCTCACCATTAATATTTAAAAAAAAAAAATTAATTGAGAACTTATCTTACAGTTACTACCAAAATGTTAACCTGTATTTTTTTCTTTAATTATAATAATAACAGAAGCTGTTCAATTATAGTATAATAAATATAACTTGACAGATTCTATATAAAGTCTATACAAGACTTAACAAAATATAGAGAGATTTGGGATTTTTAAGGCAAAGGTAACAATAAATAGTATATAAAGATACTAAATATTGCATTTAGTTTATTCATTATAAAATGTATAAAGACACTTCTTAAGTATATAAAAACACTTATATAAATTATAGAAACACTTATGTAAAATATAGGAGCACTTGTATAAAGTGTAGAAGCACTTAAATAAAGTATAAAACACTTAGATAAAGTGTAGAGATACTTAGATAAAGTGTAGGAACATTTAGATAAAATGTAGGGACATTTACTTAAATGTTTTTAAACTTCATCTAAGTGTCTCTACACTTTATCTAAATGTTCTTATACTTTATATAAGTGTTCTTACACTTCATCTAAATGTCTTTACACTTTATCTAAAAGTTTCTACACTTTATCTAAGTGCTTTTATACTTTACACAAGTACTTTTACACTTACACAAGTATTTTTGTACTTTATATAAGTGTTGTTATATACTTAAAAAATATCTTCATACATTTCATAGTAAATAAACTAAATGCAATATTTAGTATCTTTATATACTATCTATTATTGTCTCTGTTTTAAAAATTCCAAAACATTCTGTATTTTGTTAAGTCTTATGTAGACTTGTAAAGAATCTGTCAAGTTATAATCATTATATTATAGTTGAACAGCTTCTATTATTACTGTAGTTAAAGAAAAAACTACAGATTAACAATGAAGAGCCTGATGATTTCTCTTTATCAAGCAATTTTTTAAATGACTCAAATGATACTGCAAATGAATCTTTAAAAAATTTACAAGAAAGTCATAGACTAATTAATTTTATTCTACTAGAAATTGATCCTGAAATTTTTGATCTACTATTCACTTTTGCTAATAGTAATAAAAATAAAGTGATCATTTTATAGATAATAAAATATTAGCAACATTTTAATATATTCAATATTGAAACAAAAGCATTAATTAAGCTTCTTTACTATATACTTATATATTTTAAAATAAATAAAGTTGATAGTTTTCTAACTTTTATGTTCACAGCTAAATATATATATAGAATATTTTAAATATAGATTATTATCTTAAAGATTAATCTGTAATAAACTATTAGCAGAGATTATAAAAACTAAAGAAAAATCTTTATTATGACTATTAAAACTTTATCTAGTTAAAAGTATAAGACAACAACTTTATATAATAAATCAATAACCAGGCTTTGGGAATATGTTATAGCATTTTAGTAATAGAAATATTTCAAATGAAATTTTTATAGACATATATAAAAGTAAAATTTTTTAATTAATTCTGATGATCTTCAACCATTTTTTATAAAGACAAACATGATATTTATATTGACCTAGCTCTTAATATTGATTGGTTCCAACTATTTAATTATACAGTTTATAGTACTAAGGTATTCTATAAAGTTTTGTGTAATTTACTATATGAAGAAAAATTCAAAACAAACAATATTTTAATATTAGATATTATACCAGAATCTAATAAATTTAGTAAATATTAAATTAATTACTATCTGCATCAATCATTAATAAGTTATTAAAATTTTCCTCTGATTTAGAATTATTAGTAACATTTGAATATAATAAAAGAAGGAAGATATATATAACATTAATATTATCTGCTAATAATGTTTATGCTGCAAAAAAGATTTGTGATCATGCAAGTTATATAGTTAAATGTCATTATTGCCAAAATGTTCAAAATATGATCCTGATACTAAAAGAAACCACTATATTGGTTTTGAAGATATAAAGAAATAGTTTAATTTTATAGATATTTTATAGTATTTTAATTTAGCAAATCAATAGTTACATTATATAAATAAGAATGAATGTGAACAACATATCAAAAATAAAAGAGTATGATAGTTATAACTATATCAGCTAAAATATTTTGATCTAGTTAAATTTATAGTGATTAATTCAATGCATTACTTATTCTTAGATATTGGCAAGTAGATAATTAGACAGTATTTATTAAATTATAATAAACTTGACAATACTAAACTTTTAACAATCAAAAAACATATGTTAAATATTAAACTTTTTGCCAATATAAGTTGTATTTCATCAAAAGTCATGTATGGATCAGAAGAGTTTAATCAATTTACTACAGATTAATAAAAAATATTCTATCAAGTCTATATTATTTCTTATATATAAGATATATTAAATCTTGAAGATATAATAATTATTTTTAATTTTGTTTATGCATGCAATTTATTAATAAGCTGAATATTCAAGCAAAATAATATAAATAAAGCACATAATTAGCTAATAAATATAATAAAGTTAATTAAAAAATATTATAGTCTGACACATATATCATCAAATATTTATTGATCACTTCATATTAGGCAATATTGTCTAGACTATATTTTATCTTATACTTATTAGTGCTATTTTTTTGAAAGGATAAATGGTCTATTAGAATCCTATCTGACAAGCAATTAGTCAATTGAATATGAACTTATGTGAATTCTAATAAATAATATACAAGGAGAATTTAGAATAAATTCAGCAGATAGCAATAATACAAGATTATTATTGGACCAAATTCTTTTATTTTTGGTTAAAAAAGTATGTAAAAGTTTAAAAATAACTGAAAACTTTGAGAATAAAGATTTGGTAATATATCTGAAAATAGTTAATAAAATTGATACAACAAATATAATTACATAAGCAGAAAGATATCTTAGTAGGGATACAAATCATTAACTCTTCTCAACAATTACTTGTACCAAATTTTCTTTAAGCATAATTACACTTTTCTCAATTTTTTATTAAGTAAACATATTTTGGCTGTCTAAATAAAATTGTTTCTAACAAAATTTTATATATAAATGACCCAGTATTATATCCTTATAGGCATTTATTATTGTGATATAATTAATCTTTCTAATTTTTTGCAAAAACTTAAAAGTTTATTAAGTAAATCATAGTTGTTACATAGAACAAACTTGTTCAGCTCACTCTGGCCATCATTTTGATATATCATATACTATTCTTAGTCTGTATATAAATTTAAGCCAAATTTGTTTTGAATTTTTTTAATAAATTTATATTATATTAAATTTATAAAAAAAATAAAAAAAATAATTTTTTTTTAATATTTAATATCTGAAACTAATAATATATCTAAAATTAATCTTAATTTTTTTAAATATTATAATAAATAAGATTTTTATATTTTAGTAAAAAAATTATAATTTTGAAAAATTTATAATTTTTATAAAAAAATTACAAATAACTTTAAAAATATTAAAAAAAGTTTTAATTATAGTACCTATATTTTATAATAAATTTAATAGAATAAGTTATAATAAATAATATTATTAATTGTTTTTTTATAATTTAATATAAAACCTTTAATTTTTATTATTAGCACTTAAATTTAATTATTAAACAAATTTAATTTATTTTATATTTTTAGTAAATATTTAAAAAATGTTCAAATATTAGTTTTTTTTATTAAGTAAACTATCTTACTTGTATTAATAAAAAATATTATCCACATTTTTTTAATTCTAATAATAATAAAATCATTAAAATTAGCCAAGAAGTTCTTGAGAAATTGGCTTATAAATATGAACAATTATGATTTTACAATTACTCATCTTTAAACCTAAATATCTTGAGAACTATTAAACTAGTTTACTAATTTTATAATCATTATAACCAGAAATACATGGAGAACAATTTTTATTAATACAAATAAGACAAATTACTTAATAAGAAAGCCAGTTTCTACACAGAGAACCAAGTTTATGATGGCCAGACTCAATGCACAGAGCAGGCTATAGAACTCTTCACAGCTGTGAGAGCCGAGCATATGGTGATCGAATCTACAGAGGAACTTTCTACTTCCTTGAATCCCATTGCATCATCACACTTCAAGGAAACACCACAAGACCCATCATACAATACATTAGTCAATCCTGACTCATGCTATAACAAATGGCTAACCCATCAAGCCCTATCTTTACTTTCACATCCACAAACTCTTTATTTCTTTCTTGAACACATACATTCCTACAATTACACACTACTTAATCTTTACAACTTTACACTGGCAATATCAATTAAACTAGACTATAGTGAGTGCTTAATACACTTATCAAATAAACCAGAACCTTTATCCGACCACTTTATCCCACAACGATCTGGTTATGGATTCTATCCATTAATACCTATTCCTTCAAAATACTCTTCAATACTTAATAACACACAATATACCAAACCTGTCCTTGAAGATAATGCTGTAAATTACACTTACCCACAGCTAGTAGAAACTGTCTTATCTGGCCATAATGATACTGTCATTGCCAATGAACAATATGGTTCCATACAACTGCATACATGCTATAACAAATTCCTAGCCTATAACCAGCTTCCACTACTCCCACATCTACAAACAATCATCTCTTTCTTACGACATATTTATAGTTTCGATTACTTACCAAGTAATGTCTGTGATTATACCTTAACTATTTCCATTAAAAATGATTAAGTGAAGCTCATGTTTATCTTTCATGTAAACCTAAACCTTTACCTAATCATTTTATTCCACCACTTCAAGCTATTTGGCACTATCCAAACATCTTACTAAAATCCAATACAATACAAGATAATTCTTTTAACTTAACAAACCCATACTCAACAATATTTACACCAAACCCATTATCTCCTACACCCTTAATACCAGTACAACAAACTCTATCTTCTTTTATTCCTTTATCACCATTATCTTCATCAAGACTTCATACAAATCACTTACCTGACTTCTCTTTTAACTTAAACATTGCAACTTATAATATCCAAGGCTTTAATAATCCAGAAAAGAAGCTCTTAATGGAAGAATATTGTCTTCAAAA